GACTCCAAGTAATATGTTCTAAGTGTGTTACCACATGCGCCATAATAGACCTATCTCGCATAAATAAAATAGCTATTTATGTACCAAGGGGATTATGTAGATTATAATGCCCGAAGGCGAAACTAGCCCGAGGGCCTATGGCCCGAGGGATATATTTCGCCTGAAGGGCATTATAATCTTGAAATCCCCGTGGTGCATACAATGCTTTATTTTCTACTCAACACAATGTTTTTTCATCAATTTGTTATTAACAAAATCAGTTAAACTTGTGTGACAGAATATTGTTTTGTATTTTGACATGTACCTGTACCTGTGACCTGTATCTGTACCTGCGACCTGTACAGGGTGAGTCATTTTCGGTGGGAATGCCGGGTACAGCCTAAAGGGTGATAAATACAAAAAATCTGATATAAGTGTCGCGATCTATTTTTTTGAGTATAGTTTAATGGACCACTCAGAATTTTTCGAAATTCATTTGTTTTCGATATACAGGGGTTTTTTGGAAAATAGCTGATTTCTGTTTTCCTCTGTATCTCAGTTGTTATCGAAAATTTTAAAAAATGTTAAATTACGTTTTTGTGTGATTTTTCACGTAAAATCCAGTGGCGTACTCAGATTGTTTTTAGGGGTATTATTTTTCGAGATATAGTCAAAATTTCAACTTTTTTAAATGAGACTCCCTATATATTTTCACACCGTTAAATTAGGTTTTTTTTTGTGATTCTAATGATATATAACACTTTATAGTTTCAATAATTTTAACTGTCAAAACCGCGAAAAAACTATATTGTTAGGGTATTTAATAGAAGTTGTTCCTCGGATTTAGCGATCCCCAACACAAACGTGGTACGGCGGTAGCGGGAGCAAGTGCGACAGCGACACGGGATTAGAATTATTGAAAAATGTGGTGGGATTTGATACATTTCATCCTAAAGCGTTATTTCGCTTACATGTCCTACCACATGTTTTTAATCCCACGACGCTGCCCCTCCCACGGACCGCACTGGTGTGTAGGATCCTTTAATGAACATTTTCACGTGAACTAGCAGACAGAATAATATCTAACTAGGCTTCGAAGCTAGGACCCCTAGATTCAGTAACCGCCGAAGTTTGCAGATTGTAGCACTAACACGTTAAAAGTTGACAAAACACTTGGCCGATTGGGCAAAAATGAACCGACGGCATCTGTATCTCAGTTGGTATAAGACTAGTAATCTAGAGGTCCTAGGTTCGAATAGCCTCGTCCAAACTTTTCGTGAACTAAGTCACTGGAAAAATTAGCTCACGCTCACGCTCACACTATTAACTGCATAGATGTTCGATGAGGTATTTCTAAGATTTTTGTTTATTTAAGTTACTGGTTCACGAGTTATTTGATCCATATACCTAGTTAGTTTACGTTAAATTTTTGTTTCCAATAGAAGTTTTGATGATTTATTGAAATCTACTTCTTTGCTTACTACACTAGTGTTATAAAAGTCCATCTAGTAAAAAACTTATTTACAATTATCGAGCATCTTAATATTTAATTTTAAAGGTTGATTTTTTGTCAGTATAATATTTATAAGAAAATCCGTATCGTGGCATAACAGACAGAATTGTAGCTACTTAAAAGTTAACGAAGAGTTTGGGTTAGACGCAACTACTGAACCTAGAGGTTCTAAGTTCGAATCCTAGTCGAGTCCAAACTTTTAGTTAACTTTTCAATTAGCCATTATTCTGTTTGCCTATAGTCAATTTATTTACCTACATGTTAGAAAATTGAAATATTTCATTTTAAATAAAATTAAATGAACCACGGCTGGATATGATTTGTTTTATTAAAAATAGTCATTAAAACAATTGAAGGATCCTACACAACAGTGCGGTACTGCGGGAGGGGCAGCGTCGCGGGATTAGAGCATGCGGCAAGGTATGTAAGCGAAATAACGTTTAAAGGTAGGCGCAGATTGACGCGTGACTGCGGTAGTGGGAGCGGGAATGGGAGCGACACATTAGATGCGGCAGCGAGGAGTTTGTATAGCATGCACACCAACGCGATAGTATCTGCCATACTCGAAACACGTGGTAGCGTCCAAACAATACAAAAACATCATCAAACTACTATGCGAACTGCGGAAAAACGCTGCACGCTACGAACCGAAATTAATTCGCACACATCCCGCGAATCGCATGCGTTCTCTCCGTACCGGTATGCACTTCTTCATATCTCGCCGTTGATTTACGTCCCGCAAAAGTTTCGTTCCCGCTCCCGCTTCCGCAGGCCCTCGTCAGTCTGCGCCTACCTTTAGGATGAAATGTATTATATCCCACCACATTTTTTGATAAGTCTAATCCCGTGTCGCTACCGCACTTACTCCCGCTACCGCCGTACTACGTTTGTGTTCGCGATCCCTAAATCCGAGGAACAACTTCTATAGGTACCCTAAAAATTTAGTTTTTTCGCGGTTTTGACAGTTAAAATTATTGAAACTATAAAGTTTTATATATCATTAGAATCACAAAAAAAAACCTAATTTAACGGTGTGAAAATATATAGGGAGTCTCATTTAAAAAAGTTGAAATTTTGACTATATCTCGAAAAATAATACCCCTAAAAAAAATCTGAGTACGCCACTGGATTCTATGTAAAAAATCACACAAAAACGTAATTTGACATTTTTTAAAATATTTGATAACAACTGAAATACAGAGGAAAACAGAAATCAGCTATTTTCCAAAAAAACCCTGTATATCGAAAACAAATGAATTTCGAAAAATTCTGAGTGGCCCATTAAACTATACTCAAAAAAATAGATCGCGACACTAATATCAGATTTTTTGTATCTATCACCGTTTAGGCTGTACCCGGCATTCCCACCCAAAATGACTCACCCTGTACATAGAAACGAAATAAATTGATATATCTATAAACATCTCATAAGGCAAGGCAACGGTGGTGGTCCGGTGGAAGGCGCTGGACTACATGGGAAACATTGATGGTAGACCGGGTTCGAATCCTGACATTTGTTTCGAAAAATAATAATGACGGCAAAAGCTAGCTCATGATAAAATCGTAGTCAGCTGCGGTTTTTTAAAAACTCTTAAAAACGTTCCGAGGTACTAAGGTACTCTTCTAAACTGAATACCAAAAATCTACTTAACCCTCCCTCCAGCACAATGGGGTGAACCCAAACTTTCGCAAAAAATCGCCAACATATGTTTCACCCTGTATCTTTTAGCAGGTGGACGGTAATCTGTCAACAACTGGAAATTAAATAGCAATTAGAGCAGCGTCTCACTTCTGAAAATTTCAACAAAATCGGCTTGCTACATTTTGACTTATAGTCTTACAAAAAGTGACCAAAAATTGGGGTGTTCGAGTTCGATTGATGGGTAGTTTAGATCAAGAATTTTTTGAGGAGGATGAAACAATAGAGCAGCTACTACGTGACTGCCGAGCCCTACAGGAGGAACGCTTACCCCACACCACCTAGATCAAAGTTTTCTATAGGACCTGAAAGATGCGGGAAAGATGTGCATAATAATTGAAATATTTATATTTAAAAATTAAAAAGCCCACAAAACATCAAAAAATTGCTCCTATTAAAGCGGCTGATCCTCTAATTAAAATCCGTAATTTTGAACCAACTATTATTTCATAATTGTTACTGCAGCTATTTTGTAATACAGATAAAATAAGTGGGTCGAAAATTTAAAAAGCAAATAATGTGGCTTTCAAATATTCTCAAAGAATTTATTGGCTAAACTTCTACTTAGTGTATCATAAAGAAAATTTACATAAACCAGATAAAAAGTTGTATTTGCCTAATTGTTAGATCTCGTGATTAAATAAAAATCTCGTGATCACGAGTTCTGTACGCTTCTCTGGCGAGTGAAAAGTATTAACAAATGTCCACATTGTTGCAGATGTCATTTCGAGCACGAATAGGTAGATAGGAGTAACAGCAGGGATTACAGTTAAGTCATTTCTTCAACTTTAAGATAAGTTTAATGATGATTTCATGTTCTGTTTTTATTTTTCTGTAATATGAGGCATACAAAAAGCAACTGAATAATCTTTAGAATGTTTCCGGGTGACGATAATTTTTAAAATTTTCAAGTTTTCTAAATAATAGAACCTGTTATATATAGTCACTTTCATAGTCTCTTATGACATCCGATGTACGTAAACTTTCCTGAATTTGTTCAATGTTCCTATATAAACACCATGAACTTGAGAGCGGCAATGTCGCATTCAAGACGCCGGTTTCCAAAACATTATTATTGTCGAATGTTTTTTTTTTATATTTTTATAAAACTGATTTAAGTTTGAAAAAATAGTCAGTAGGTATAATCTAACAAAAAGCGTAATTCAAACGTCTAATTTAAAATTACACTATCCCTCCCCCTGTCCAAACATGTAATACCACATAACTTAACGGTAACTTATAAACTTAACCGACCTTGGAAGCAGGTAGCGATAAAATTGTTGCAACCCTCTTCTGAATTAAATTTTTTTAAATATTTTTTCGAGAGTGAAATTACTCACCCTAGAGAAACTAGTTCGAAAAGGGTATGCCTATGTGAAAGTGCATGGCTACTCGAAAAAATAAAAGTAAAAAATAGGTAACAATGGAAAATGGGTGATTTATTTTCATAGGAACTCTTTGGTTAACCATTGCTAATGTCAGGAAAGTGTCCCGTTTGGAAAATATATGGATGGTGATTATATTGTAATAAGTTTTTTTCGTTACTTTAATTTAAAAACTAGTAGATTTTCAAAGATGAAATAGTGGATCCAAAATGGTCGATGTTATTGTAGAAATAATACGGGAGCTCAAACAAATCTTATAAAGTTTTTTGATATCTCTGTATAAGGAAGATATTTTTCTATGGAACTATAATTCGTTTTTGATGGGGGCTTTAAATTATAAGACAAGTCAACATTTGTAGGTATTCTTAGCCCAATTTGAAAACATTTCTGGAAAATTCTCGAAAATCAAAATCAAATTACATACCTGTAGTTCAGGTGGACCACCCTCATCCCTAATCAGCAACAAGTAACTTTGATTGTCCACTAGGATTTCCTTCTTGAATCTGCCTCCTTCAGGGGATTCTTCTTGCATATAGGAACCGGTCAAATACCGATGTACCAGCGCCGATTTGCCGGAACTCAGAGAGCCCACTATACCTAGGCGCAAGTCAGGAACAGCTCTGGATAGGGTCCATTCTTGAGAGTTGACGAAGGAATCTGTAAGAAAAAAGATGATTTTAATTACATTGAGAATCTGCTTACATCAAGCAAGAAATTTTATACGATTTGCAACTTAGCTAAGCTCTTTGGCTATGCTCCGCTAAACCCCATTTTCGAAAGGTTTAGCTTTACAGGCATTTTATAGAGAAGTAAAGAAATTCGATATAGGAAAAATATCCGCTTACATTTCCCTTGGTGACAATATTATGTACATTATGACTTTGAGAAAGTATTAGCCGTTCGAGTAACCCTTTTCGGAAACTCGATATGACTTTCAGCCTAATGGCTTTGAGGGTACAACTACTAGGGCGGTTATTTGGAATTGATATATCAATGTATTTAATAATACCCTTGTCGACAGACGGCTTAATGATATTGCCTCAATCTTTCGGGATTAAAAAACTTTGTGGAAAAGTTTTCCAATGTTCTAAGTTGTTGAAAATATTGAACGATCAAACTTTATGCCGTACTTATCAAGTTTCAGAGGAAAACAACTTGTAGTTTGAGAGATCTTAGAAGTTATTTTATCTATAGAACTTTATTAGGAATCTATTTCTATTATTAGATCTGTTAATCACAAAGTTTTTTTTTTGAGTCAACATTTGATGACCGCCTAACTAAATGATGTCAGTAATGCCACCACATGTAAATTTAGCACTTGGCTAAATTGTGTGTCTGAATAACTAAGAAACGATTATGTTTCATAAATAGTATAATTCGTAAGAAAAATGCTTGAAACAGCAAACCGACAACCTTCCAAAATATGTGGATAATTGTATTCCAGAAATAGAAATTGGATCACGTTTAAAATAGGTCATACGTGTTTTTGTTTATAATTAGCTTTCTTCGGAATTCAATTCATTTTCAAGAGGAATTCAAAATACACTTGTGGGCGGTGAGGGCCTGTTTTTGTTATCAGCTTCTAATTTCTAGTTCATAAATAAAAATGTATTGCTGATTTTTAGAACAACTTTTATTGAACTTAGTTACCTATTTTACAAAATTCACCAATAGCTTTCAAATGTATAACAACATTTCTTTTATTTTAGCTAACTGCAACTTACAAACTACGCGCTTTAGTGGCGACAGCTTATCTGCAGAATAGTGCAGATTGTTATTTTGTATCGTCCCGAATCTGATGACCATTGATTCTCGTGGAATCACTTTTGGGGTGGCGTTGGATTCAATATGTCAACCTTTTATAAACGTATATGGGCTATACCGGCGTTAGCTTTCGGGATCTACCTTCCTTACTTTGAATATGATAACTAATTGGCCCAAGAAAAATTATCCAATGGATCAAGAGCCACAGATAATCAAAATTTAAACTATTAGCGGCTCTTGATTCTTTGGAAAACCTTCCTAGAGCCAATCAAGAGCCGGTAATAGTCAGAATTTGAATGTTTATCAACTCTGTATTCGCTAGAGAATTTTTCTAAGGGCATTCAAAGCTCAAGAGCCGATGATAATCAAAACTTCGAATGATCATTAGCAGCTCTTAAGTTGATATTAATCAAAATTTCTTCTTCCGCAGCTTCTAATTTGCCTAAGAAAAATTATCCAAGGGATCAAGAGCCACAGATAATCAAAATTGGAACTATTACCGGCTCTTGATTCTCTGGAAAACTTTCCTGGAGCCAATCAAGAGCCGGTCAAAATTTGAACTTTTCTCGACTCTTGATTCGCTAGAGAATTTTTCTAAGGGCATTCAAAGCTCAAGAGCCAATAATAATCAAAATTTCGAATGATCATTAGCAGCTCTTAAGAGATATTAATCAAAATTTCTTCTTCCGCAGCTTCTGATTGGCTCTTTTAGTTGAACAAGATTCTCGTCTCGCGGCATCACATTTCTTAGTGTCATCGTTAAGCTTTCTATAATAGACACAGAATCTGGAAAATCTGTCTTTCTTGCTTACATGAAGCGATGACCACAGAGTTCAAACACGACTCATCAACAACTCCTGTACAGCAGCCACTAAACGTTTCGGGTGTATCCGAGTGGCTAAACGGTGTAGAGTAGGTAACAAAATTTTCAATTTGGGATCGTCGTGTTGCTAGACGAAGATGTCCGAATTGCTACAAAAACTTTGTCGAGATCCTAGAAAGAAAAAATTACGAGCCTAATGGGCATGGAGGATTGGAAGTGGCCGAAGTGGGTAATTTAAAAAAAAAAAACTATTTATTTGTAGGTATATATTTCCTTGAATAATTTCAAATAAAATCTTCTATAGTCCATTTTTGAGTATAAACCAAAATTAATTCAAATACAAGCAAGCAGTAAATTATTATATTTCTAATCTTGGCCTACTATTCAGAGTGACACAAGGAATAGGGCACAACCTATACCTTTTTTAATATACCTACCTAACAGTGAAAAGGAGTAGCGGGAATAGGACAGCAAAAAAAGACGTTGTTATTTAATCAGCGACGTTTCGACTATATATTTTGGTCTTCTTCAGGCTAGAAATATGGTATACATAAGAAATTGGCAATAAAATTAAGGAATTTAAAGAGAAAAAATTTAAAGACTTGAAAAAAAAAAACTTGATAGTACACAAAAGTAAATTTGAACTAATAGGTATGCATTTTAAATTAAAAGAACAAAAATCAATCAAATCATTGAAACATTGAGAAAAACAAAAATAATTAAACTAATCTGTGGACATTTCAAAAGCTCGAGCAGAACAAAAGTAAAATTAACAAACAAACAAGAAAAATAACGTAAGCAAAAAATACATAAACATTAAAATTATAGGGAGTCAACATACCTTCCAAATATAACGTCATTGCTAAAAATTCCAAATACAAATAGGCACATAAAACACCTAAACTGTGAGAACCGCTCTGCTGCTGGCGTGTTTGTTTGACTTGCGAAGATTTTTAATTATAATTATCATTTTTAAATTTTGACTGATTTTTACTGTAAGGTCCAGCTTCGTGTTTTATGTGCCTATTTGTATTTGGAATTTTTAGCAATGACGTTATATTTGGAAGGTATGTTGACTCCCTATAATTTTAATGTTTATGTATTTTTTGCTTACGTTATTTTTCTTGTTTGTTTGTTAATTTTACTTTTGTTCTACTCGAACTTTCAAAATGTCCACAGATTAGTTTAATTATTTTTGTTTTTCTCAATGTTTCAATGATTTGATTGATTTTTGTTCTTTTAATTTAAAATGCATACCTATTAGTTCAAATTTACTTAGAGTTTTGTGTACTATCAGGTTTTTTTTTTCAAGTCTTTAAATTTTTTCTCTTTAAATTCCTTAATTTTATTGCCAATTTCTTATGTATACCATATTTTTAGCCTGAAAAAGACCAAAATATATGGTCGAAACGTCGCTGAATAAATAACAACGTCTTTTTTTGCTGTCCTATTCCCGCTACTACTATACCACATAATGGATACCTACCTAAGTTAGAAGTTTTACCCTTCTCATTTAAAATTAATTGTAACTCCACTGCAGCATACAGGTTCACTTGATTTACAGAAAAGCTAAGAAAGAACTGTGGATATCGACTATCGAATGTATGTAGTGATGCCGCGAGACGAGACGAGACAAGAATTCGGTCCCTCTCGTCTCGTCTCGTCGGAAGGTTCGAAAGAAAATGAGTCTCTCGTCTCGACGAGAGACCCTCGATACGAGACGAGAGAGTTCTTCTCTAGTCTCGTCTCGTTTTCTCTCGCAAGTTTTGATGCATAGTAAGTTAATTTCGCCATAATCAATCCTATTTTAATTGATGGGTATATGAAAATAGAGTCCATAATAGGTCTGCTTTCCCAGAAATCACAGAGCAGTCAGAGCGTTTTTGACAATTATTGTCAACAACCAGTTTTCTGACTATTCTCAACCAATGAAATTCGCTCGGTTTTGTTTTTCAGATATGAATAGATTTTTTTTCCAAACTTCAAATACTTAACGCTCTGTATCTCAAGAAGGAGGCATTTCCAATTTCCGGACACATATTTATAGATTTTTTTGTTTAAATATAAGGAATCGCACCTTGATGTAAGCGACTCAACGTGTTCAAAAAAATGCGGCCAAAAATGTTTAGTGCTTCTAAGAACATTTGAACTCGCCTACTCCTTAAAATTATTAAAGAGCTACTGGGAACATTTAAACACGCATACTGTTTCAGAAGCAGGAAATTCTCGAGGATAGAATGCCATTCTCTCGTCTCGTCTCGAAGTGACTTTTCGAGAGAAAATGGGTCGGAGACGAGAATCATCATCACTAACTGTATGTTACAAAACTCAATGTTATAAAATCATTCAAAAAACAAAAATTCTCCAATTATATCTTAACCACCCCTCCTAATAAAACTGGTGATCTTGGGATTATTACCTGTCTCTAATTAAGATCACGTCTAGAAACTCGACTATCCCCCCGTCTAGCAATTTGTGTATGTCGGTCTAGGAACTCGGCAATCTCAAATTATTTTAGTTGCATTCGTCTAGCAGCTCGGATACACCGATAATTTAATGATCGAGGTTCATTTTACCAGTTTCGTCATATCTACTTACAAAGATATTCTTGTTCTCAAAAACGACTTGATGAACCTTCTTCAGTTCCCTAGGAATAGTAGGTTTGTCTTAGAACGTCATTATCTTAGCACAATTTTTAGTCATTGTTACGAGAATTTTTGTAATTTATCGACGATTTCATAATTGTAGGTACTACCATGAGGAAATTAGAATAAATTACATTTTGTCACTAAATGGGGACATTCACCATATTTGAATTTCATTGCTTTATTATTTTTAATCAGTTGTATTAACCAAAATAAAAATACCCTTGCTTCCAGTTGGGTTTAAAATGTCCTAATTTCGTTTAAAATAATTTTCAAAAACGTATATACACTTTCCGACCAATAAGAATCGTTCACAATAGCTCTGGCGCACATCTTATATGCTTTCCTTGTCTAAGCTCTGAAGAGTGACAATGATGAAACTCCTCATTCGTTATTTGCATCTTGTTCGTTTAACGCTGGTCAAC